CCCCCTTTACATCAGGGCCCCCATCAGAGTCCCTCTTTACATCAGGGCCCCCATCAGAGTCCCCCTTTACATCAGGGCCCCCATCAGAGTCCCCCTTTACATCAGGATCCCCATCAGAGTCCCCCTTTACATCAGGATCCTATCAGAGTCCCCCTTTACATCAGGGTCCCTATCAGAGTCCCACTTTACATCAGGTCCTCTTCAGAGTCCCCTCTAAATGTCAGGATCCCCATCAGAGTTTCCTGTTATGTCAGAGTCTCCATCAGAGTCCTACCTAATGTCAGAGCCTCCATCAGAGACCCCTCTTATGTCCGATCCCCCCTTTACATCAGGGGCCCCATCAGAGTTCCCTGTTATGTCAGAGTCTCAATGAGAGACCCCTCTTATGTCAGATTCCCCATCAGAGCCCCCCTTTACGTTAGAGTCCCCATCAGAGTCCCCCCCCCCCCCATGTCAGTATTCCCATCAGAGTCCTCCTTTATGTCAGTGTCTCTGCTTTCTCTCAGGGTCCCCATGAGAGACCTCCATATGTCAGAGTCTACATCAGAGTCCCTCCTTATGTTCAAGTCTCCATCAGAGTCCCCCTTATGTCAAAGTCTGCTTCAGAGTCCTATAATGGTAATAATCATTCAGATCAACAGAGAAAAAACTTCTGTAAAACAAATCAAAGTCTTCAAAGTCCCCCTGTAAATCAGGGTCCCCATCAGAGTCCCCTTTTACATTAGGGTCTCCATCAGAGTCCCCCTTATATGTCAGAGTCCCCATCAGAGTGCCCCGTTATGTCAGAGTTTCCATCAGAGACCCCTCTTATGTCAGATTCCCCATCAGAACCTTCCTTATATTAGAGTCCCCATCAGAGTCCCCCCCCATGTCAGTTTCCCATCAGAGTTCTCCTTTATGTTAGTGTCCCTATCTGAGTCTCTCCTTACATCAGGGTCTCCATCAGAGACCCTCATATGTCAGAGTCTCCATCAGAGTCCCTCCATATGCCAAAGTCTGTATCGGAGTCCTCCCTTACGTCGGTGCCCCTATCCTGACATAAGTCCCCCTTATGTCAGGATCCCATCAGAGTCCCCTTTACGGCAGTGTCCCTATCAGAGTCCACTCCTATGTCAGAGTCTCTTATTAGAGTCCCCTTCACAGTGCTCCCTGAGGAACCTGCACTGGAGCCCAGAAGGGAAGGTTGTGGATACAAACATAGAAAAGTGATCACAGAAAAAAAACTGAGTGGTCCAGCCATTTTTTTTTTTTTTTCGTTAGATTTTTTGGATGTTGGAGAGAAACAGAGCCCATAGGCTGACCTGAAGACCCGATATAGAGACCATAGGCTTACCCTACCTGAGGGTCCAATAAAATCTTGCTAGATTTGGTCTGCGGGTCATAGTTTGGAATATCCATCAAAATACAAACATCACCACAGTGAAAAACGGTATGGGGTTCAGCCCTCTAAAGATCGGGGAATGGCTGACACGTTTTGGGTTTCGAGAGCTTTGAGGAAAGGAGTTTGACTCCCGAAACATGTCAGCCATTCCAACTGGCAATTGTACCACAGGACCCCTGTTGTGTGGGATTGATACATTTGGCTCCATGGCTGTTTTCAATATCTTTTTTGTAAGTATCCACTTGTTACGTTTTTAATAAATCTATTTGTTATAACGATAATGCACGAGGAGAGTGCGCCCTTTTGTGTTTTCCTATTTTATAAATAATCAATAGAGAAGATGGGACTTTCAAGGTGCATAGACATGAATACCACACATTAAAAGTTATAAAATTTTTATTTCGTATTTTGGTAAAACACAAGAAAGGAAAAAATACAAAAACATAAAAACAATTTCAATTCTAAGAATACCAACTGAGATTCAAACTTGGTTAGGTAAATGTAGTATACTCCCTACATGTTTCACCCTCACAGGCTTCTTCAGGGGAGATTTTTTTTGAGGAAATTTCTAAAGCCAAGGCAGTCTAAAAGTATAGACTATAAATTTATATACTTTTAGACTGCCTTGGTGCTAGAAATTATTTGCAATTTTAAGGGATGTGGTGCAATAATCATATCTGGTCACTCGCTCGCCACTTCACTGTTTCCTACTTTAAAGTTTGGAGTAACCTGATCTAGAAACTTTTTCACTGGTCATGTGCTGACACAATCCACACACAGTATATATATATATATACACTATATATATACAGTGGGGATCGAAAGTTTGGGCACCCCAGCTAAAAACTTGTATTAATGTGCATAAAGAAGCCAAGGAAAGATGGAAAAATCTCCAAAAGGCATCAAATTACAGATTAGACATTCTTATAATATGTCAACAAAAGTTAGATTTTATTTCCATCATTTACACTTTCAAAATAACAGAAACAAAAAAAATGGCGTCTGCAAAAGTTTGGGCACCCTGCAGAGTTAATATCTTGTACTGCCCCCTTTGGCAAGTATCACAGCTTGTAAACACTTTTTGTAGCCAGCCAAGAGTCTTTCAATTCTTGTTTGAGGTATCTTTGCCCATTCTTCCTTACAAAAGTCTTCCAGTTCTTTGAGATTTCTGGGCTGTCTGTCACGCACTGCTCTTTTAAGGTCTATCCATAGATTTTCAATTATGTTGAGGTAGGAGATTGTGAAGGCCATGGCAAAACCTTCAGTTTACGCCTCTTGATGTAATCCCCCGTGGATTTTGAGGTGTGTTTTAGGATCATTATCTATTTGTAGAAGCCATCCTCTCTTTAACTTCAGCTTTTTCACAGATGGCATCAAGTTACCATCCAAAATTTGCTGAAATTTTATTGAATCCATTTTTCCTTCTACTCGTGAGATGTTCCCTGTGCCACTGGCTGCAACACAACCCCAAAGCATGATTGATCCAACCCCATGCTTAACAGTTGGACAGAGGTTCTTTTCATTAAATTCTGTGCCCCTTCTTCTCCAAACGTACCTTTGCTCATTTTAACCTCATCGGTCCACAGAACTTGTTTCCAAAATGCATCAGGCTTGTCTATATGTTCATTTGCAAAGTTCAAACAATGATTTTTGTGGTGAGGGGCGTAGAAGAGGTTTTCTTCTGATGACTCTTCCATGAAGACCATATTTGTACAAGTATCTCTTTATAGTGGAATAGTGTACCACAACTCCAGTGTCTGCCAGATCTTTCTGGAGGGATCGTGCAGTCAAACGTGAGTTTTGAAATGTTTTTCTCACAATCCTGCAAGCTGTTCTGTCTGATATTTTTCTTGGTCTTCCAGATCTTGCTTTAACTTCCACTGTTCCTGATGACTGCCATTTCTTAATTACATTCCGAACAGAGGATATTGACATCTGAAAACGCTTTGCTATCTTCTTATAGCCTTCTCCAGCTTTGTGAGCGTCAACTATTTTCAGTTTCAGTTTTCTAGACAACTGCTTAGAAGAACCCATGGTGCTGATTGTTGGGGCAAGGTCAGATGAGTCTGGGCATTTAAAACCTTTGAGATTGACATCACCTGGTCTTCCCAGATGATGATTTAGAACAATCCATGACACTGGCAGGTCTCAGCTTTGCAAAGGGGGCAGTGCATGCTATAAATTCTGCAGGGTGCCCAAACTTTTGCAGACGCCATTTTTTTGTTTTCTGTTATTTTGAAAGTGTAAATGATGGAAATAAAATCTAACTTTTGTTGACATATTATAAGAATGTCTAATCTGTAATTTGATGCCTTTTGGAGATTTTTCCATCTTTCCTTGGCTTCTTTATGCACATTAATACAAATTTTTAGCTGGGGTGCCCAAACTTTCGATCCCCACTGTATATATATATATGTGTGTGTGTGTATGTATATATGTGTGTGTATATGTGTATATATATATATATATATATATATATATGTATGTGTATGTATGTATATGTATTATATATATATATATATATATATATATATATATATATATATATATATGTGTGTGTGTATATATATATATGTGTATATATATATATATGTGTGTGTGTATATATACTGCATTTGTTTGAACCAAGAGGATTAAAGCTGCAGCATGCTACAGCTTTTATTTGGAAAGGATAATGCATGGCAAGGGAAATATCATGCTACGATTTTTTTTTTCCTGCATTCCAAAAAGAAAATTAAAATTAAAGATAATTTGGTGGAAACAGAAGGGCATGCTGCACCTTGCCAAGATTTATGGCCAGGCAAATTGACAGTGACACCTCTTTTGGCAGCCCCACTGATTCTGTGCCGCAGATGTGTATCTAGCAAGCACTTCCAGCAAAAACATACACAGCAAGAGTCAACACTAACATGCAAACTCCATTAAACTGGATCATTTATTAAATGATATGTCATATTCCCCTTCTATCCTGGAGACCCAACATGAAATGAGAGTAAACTGAACATGCACCAGTAGAATCCTTTTTGAAAAATGTTCTTTTTTTATATCATGTATTTGATTTTCTAATCATTAGTGAGGTCAAGCGACCTTGTTTTTAACCGTAACGATGATAAAATGTGAACAAGCAAATAGAAAATTTTTCTCAAACGAACAAAATTCTAATGCCAGCATCGAAATTTGGCTGGTTCAGCAAGGTCTGGACAAATTTCAATTTATATATGGGCAGGCTGGTTGTATAGAAGTCGATCTACCAATGTCCACTTGATGATTTTCCCTCTCCTACCAACAACCTTAAAGTGTTACTAACCCACCCCACACCCTGCATTCACTATATCTGGTCTCCCCGGACCCTACATTCACTATATCTGGTCTACCCGGACCCTGCATTCACTATATCTGGTCTACCCGGACCCTGCATTCACTATATCTGGTCTCCCCGGACCCTGCATTCATATATCTGGTCTCCCCGGACCCTACATTCACTATATCTGGTCTACCCGGACCCTGCATTCACTATATCTGGTCTACTGCATATATATCTGGTCTCCCGGACCCTGAATTCACTATATCTGCCTCCCCGGACCCTGCATTCACTATATCCGACCCTGCATTCACTATATCTGCTCTCCCCGGACCCCGCATTCACTATATCTGGTCTCCCCGGACCCTGCATTCACTATATATGGTCCCCCCCCGGACCCTGCATTCACTATATATAGTTTTCCCAGACCCTCATTCACTATATCCTCCCCTGACCCTGCATTTACTATCTTCTCTCCCCAGACCCTGCATTCGTGATATCTTCTCTCCCCGGACCCTATATCACTATATCCGCTCTCCCCGGACCCGGCATTCACTATATCCGGTCTCCCCGGACCCTGCATTCACTATATATCTCCCCCGAACCCTGCATTCACTATATCCGGTCTCCCCGGACCCTGCATTCACTATATCTGGTCTCCCCGGACCCCTTCTCTATATCTGGTCACCCTGCATTCACTATATCTACCCTCTCACTATATCCGGACCCTGCATTCACTATATCTGGTCTCCCGGACCCTGCATTCACCCTCTCCCCGCCCTGCATTCACTATATCCTCCCCGCCCTCTCCTATATCTACTCTCCTCGGACCCTGCATTCACTATATCTGGTCTCCCCGGACCCCTGCATTCACTATATCCGCTGGTCATTCCCCGGACCCCGCATTCACTATATCTGCATGCATTCACTATATATGGTCCCCCCCGGACCCTGCATTCACTATATCTAGTTTTCCCAGACCCTGCATTCACGACTATATCTAGTCTCCCCAGACCCTGCATTCATGATATCTTCTCTCCTTGGACCCTATATCCACTATATCCGCTCTCCCCAGACCCGGCATTCACTATATCCGGTCTCCCCGGGACCCTGCATTCACTATATCTGGTCTCCCCGAACCCTGCATTCACTATATCCGGTCTCCGCGGACCCTGCATTTACTATATCTGGTCTCCCCGGACCCTGCCTTCTCTATATCTGGTCTCCCCCAGACCCTGCATTCACTATATCTGGTCTCCCCGGACCCTGCATTCACTATATCCGCTCTCCCTGGACTCTGCATTCACTATATCTGGTCTTCCCAGACCCTGCATTCACTATATCCGCTCTCCCTGGACCCTGCATTCACTATATCCGCTCTCCCTAGACCCTGCATTCACTATATCTGGTCTCCCCAGACCCTGCATTCACTATATCTGGTCTCCCTGGACCCTGCATTCACTATATCCGCTCTCCCTGGACTCTGCATTCACTATATCTGGTCTTCCCGGACCCTGCATTCACTATATCCGCTCTCCCTGGACCCTGCATTCACTATATCTGGTCTTTCCGGACCCTGCATTCACTATATCCGCTCTCCCCGGACCCCGCATTCACTATATCCGCTCTCCCCGGACCCTGCATTCACTATATCTGCTCTCCCCGGACCCTGCATTCACTATATCTGCTCTCCCCGGACCCTGCATTCACTATATCTGGTCTTCCCGGACTCTGCATTCACTATATCCGCTCTCCCTGGACCCTGCATTCACTATATCCGCTCTCCCCGGACCCTGCATTCACTATATCTGGTCTCCCTGGACTCTGCATTTACTATATCTGGTCTCCCCGGACCCTGCATTCACTATATCTGGTCTCCCCAGACCCTGCATTCACTATATCTGCTCTCCCCGGTCCCTGCATTCACTATATCTGCTCTCCTCAGACCCTGCATTCCCTATATCTGGTCTCCCCCGGACTCTGCATTCACTATATCCGGTCTCCCCGGACCCTGCTTTCACTATATCCGGTCTCCCCGGACCCTGCTTTCACTATATCTGGTCTCCCCGGACCCTGCATTCACTATATCTGGTCTCCCCGGACCCTGCTTTCACTATATCTGGTCTCCCCAGACCCTGCATTCACTATATTTGGTCTCCCACAGTACACAGAACATGGAAATGCTAAATACCTTTTCTCCTCAGCAGTTAGAGCAGTCTTGTGACTTCAGCAGAGCACTGGTTAAAGCTTGCAGGAGGAGTTTTCATTCTGCTCTAGGAGGATGCAAAACCCCTGACCACTGTCAGGACAGTGATGATTGGCCCTGTGCTGATCACTTGCACTCTCCCCCCAAAAAAAAACTCTCTGGCAATGCACACTAAACTGAGCATGTGCAGAAGGGCTATGGGTTCAGTCTGTCTTATCAGCGTGGACATGTGAACAAGAGGAGGGGCAGAGAAGACAGGATCAAACAGCCTTTTTTACACAATGCAGAGGATTAACCCCTTAGGCTCCACAGTGAGTATAACAAGCATGCTTTACTGCACATACTTACTGCTGTGGGTTTAGTAACACTTTAAAGATGAACTCAGTGATAAGTACATATTGTCTAAATACAAGAGTTCTGTGCATTCTTCTTTGAACCTTGGTATGCTTTATGTCTTTCTTCCAGATCTGGGCAGAAATCCAGCATGAAACTTAACCTTTGTGCAGGAGCTTCATGTAATAAAGACCGCTCACTGCTGCTCTCTCTCCTTGTGCAGGGTGACTGGTCTTGACTTCCGGCCCCTCCTGTAGCTTTTGACATGCAGCCTGTAGTGGGTGGAGCCTGCCGATCCCTTCCACTGCTCTGCTCTCTGCACAGGCTATGTACAGCGCAGTGATGATGTCGCTGCCGACTTTGCAAGATAATAACTGGGTTTGCAAAGACATCCCATATGGAAGATAAATATATTTTAAATATATTTAAAAAATATTCTTCCCGAATACATTGACATATCTTTGAAATGCCACAATTTTGGCCATATTCAATATATTTCGAAATATATTTTGTTAAAATATATATATAAAAACTCATTTCAACTTGCAGTATATGTATACATATACAGTCAGGTCCATAAATATTGGGACATCAACACAATTCTAACATTTTTGGCTCTATACACCACCACAATGGATTTGAAATGAAACAAACAAGATGTGCTTTAACTGCAGACTGTCAGCTGTCAGGTGAATGACTTGGCCATTGCATAACATTCCACTTCTTTCCCTTAAAAAACTCTTTGGTTGCTTTTGCAGTCTGCTTTGGGTCATTGTCCATCTGCACTGTGAAGCGTCCAATGAGTTCTGAAGCATTTGGCTGAATATGAGCAGATAATATTCCCGAAACACTTCAGAATTCATCCGGCTGCTTTTGTCAGCAGTCACATCATCAATAAATACAAGAGAACCAGTTCCATTGGCAGCCATACATGCCCACGCCATGACACTACCACCACCATGCTTCACTGATGAGGTGGTATGCTTAGGATCATGAGCAGTTCCTTTCCTTCTCCATACTCTTCTCTTCCCATCACTCTGGTACAAGTTGATCTTGGTCTCATCTGTCCATAGGATGTTGTTCCAGAGCTGTGAAGGCTTTTTTAGATGTCGTTTGGCAAACTCTAATCTGGCCTTCCTGTTTTTGAGGCTCACCAATGGTTTCCATCTTGTGGTGAACCCTCTGTATTCACTCTGGTGAAGTCTTCTCTTGATTGGTGACTTTGACACACATACACCTACCTCCTGGAGAGTGTTCTTGATCTGGCCAACTGTTGTGAAGGGTGTTTTCTTCACCAGGGAAAGAATTCTTCGGTCATCCACCACAGTTGTTTTCCGTGGTCTTCCGGGTCTTTTGGTGTTGCTGAGCTCACCGGTGCGTTCCTTCTTTTTAAGAATGTTCCAAACAGTTGTTTTGGCCACGCCTAATGTTTTTGCTCTCTCTCTGATGGGTTTGTTTTGTTTTTTCAGCCTAATGATGGCTTCACTGATAGTGACAGCTCTTTGGATCTCATCTTGAGAGTTGACAGCAACAGATTCCAAATACAAATAGCACACTTGAAATGAACTCTGGACCTTTTATCTGCTCATTGTAATTGGGATAATGAGGGAATAACACACACCTGGCCATGGAACAGCTGAGAAGCCAATTGTCCCATTACTTTTGGTCCCTTAACAAGTGGGAAGCACATATGCAAACTGTTGTAATTCCTACACTGTTCACCTGATTTGGATGTAAATACCCCAAAATTAAAGCTGACAGTTTGCAGGTAAAGCACATCTTGTTCGTTTCATTTCAAATCCATTGTGGTGGTGTATAGAGCCAAAAATGTTAGAATTGTGTCGATGTCCGAATATTTATGGACCTGACTGTATATATATATATATATTGCAAGTTGAAATTAGTTTTTATTACAAAATATATGAAAAATATTTGTAAAAATACATTTCAGATATACTGTATGTCTTTAAAAATACAAATCTACATTTTTGGAATGCATTTACATATATATGTAAAAATATATGTTAAAATGAATTTTTTTAAAAAAAAGCTGAAGAATATATTTTTAAAAATATATATATTTTTTTAAATATATTCTTCAGATTTTTTTAACATATAAAAAAGTAATTTTAACATATATTTTTACATATATTTGTAAATGCATTCCAAAAATGTAGATTTGTATTTTTAAAGACATACAGTATATCTGAAATGTATTTTTACAAATATTTTTTAATAAAAATGCATTTAAACATGCAGTATATATATATATATATATTTTATTTATCAAAATATATTTATCGAAATATACTGAATATGGCCAAAATTGTAGCATTTCAAATATATGTCAATATATTTGGGAGGAATAATTTTAAATTATATTTCAAATATATTTTTCTTCCATGTGGTATTTGTTGCACACAAAGAGAATTTATATATATATATATATATATATATATATATATATATATATATATATATATATATTGAGGAATATATATTAAAATGAACACTTTTGTGCCCAGAGCTTAGCCTTAAAATGTGTATTTTCCATCACTTTCTGTACCATGACAGTGGTCACTAGGACAAATAGAGAGGATTAATCTCCCCAGCAGGGGCACAGACACTGAGAGGGGTTCTAACCCTTCCCTCCTCTATCCATAACAAAGATACACTTAAAATTGGACAATTTATTAACTGTGAAAAAAATATTTGATATATATCTTTATGTAAAATATGATAAAATGTGTATTACACAAGTTCAAGGCATCCCTCTGAGCTCCCACAGTCTGCTATGACCTTGCAGCAAGCTCACGTTAGAGAAGATGTGACACAATATAGATGGCTGACCTCACTCGGGAAAAAGCGAAAAAAAAAACCCACATTATTACTCATACTAAAAGCAATTCTGCTCCTTTACAGGGGTCTGTGTTGTTGTGCGGGAATAGAGTTCTGAGCCGAGCTTCAGACGGCGAAACAATAAACCGATTTTTTTTTCATTGAATTTGAGTGATTCCTGCCTGTCAGTAGTTACAGACTGTTCCCTCGTCACACATCACAGCAGCACGCCTGATAACCAGGAACTGTTTTCTAAAAGTACATTTCTGATATATAATGTTCTTACCTGCCGCGCAAACAAAGTTTCCAGTTCACTGACTGCGCTGTGTTCTTGCCAACCAATCAGATAGTGTAAGAAGTGAGGAAAGGGTTAACCTTGTAAAATACTGTAGCACTTATCCTGTAAGGAGCCTCTGGAACATTGGGTGCCTCCTAACTTCACTGTTGCCCCAAGCATACAATTACTCACCAAAGGTGACCCAGAGACTGATATCCACCCTGCCAATCTTTGATGATCTTGCAGAATTTATTGGCTCTAAATCCGTGGGAGAGGATTAGGGGTTACAGGATACCCAAAAATAGCAACCAAGTGTAGCACCCCTCTAGACAGCCAGCAGGAGCTAGTTGCTAATTTTTAAATAGAAAGGCCTGGGGAAACAGTCATACAAGGTCACATTTGGGTCAGGGCTGAGAAGCTCTGCATATCAGTTCCCTGATACCTCCCCCTGCTCTAGAGACTTGAAAAAGTCTCTAGAAGCAGTGGGCGGGGGTGAGGAGAGGCTTATCTGCATACTTAGGGGATCCTGACCAATCCCCAAGCAGGAGGATTAGCATGGGGTCAAGACAGCCCTTAAGTATGACTGAGCCTGAGAGCTCAGTGAAAGAGGAAGAGATGCGGGAGCCTGGGAGGGGGCCCAGTGGGAAGGGGCCTGCCTACAGGCTGGGACCTGGACATGAGGATCACTTAGCCTCAGCAGTCCCCGGAGGGAGGACTACCTGTGGAGCCAGGAATGGAACCAGCCCAGCGGAAGGCCTGAAGATAGCCACTTACCTAAAACAGCTTACAGGAAAGAGACTGAGTGAGTAATCCTACAACCCCAGGGCCAGCTAAGGAGAAAAAGAGCATTCAGGTGGGAAACCTGACTATCTCCTTACCCACGACTGTTCAACTTAAAATGGCAGGCACTGGATCCCCTTGCCCAGGGATTTCTCCAGACAGCTGGATAAAAAGAGGATTATCTGGGGTCTGGGGTGGTACACCAGGAGAGGCTGGAGAGTTCTCCTACAAGAGTTTTATTTGTAAAGACTTGTATATAGTTGCCAGGAAGTTGTCCTCAGTTTGCAGTTCCAATGGGCATCCCATGAACCCCTCAACCCTATCTGAGTTTAACACCCCTAATAAAACTAAAAAAAAAACAAGCTCAAGGACTATTTACTGTCTCTGGAATACAAGTCTGAGAAAATGTGTGTTGCCTGGCTGTGCAGGACCATAAGGGGACCCAAATCTAGAGCAACTTCTAAGGGGATAGTGC